CCTCTATTTTTTTATCTGTATCTACTCTGGAGTCACTAACCATGTCTTTCATTATGGTCACTATGTAGTTATCTGAGAAATTATTTCTGATTTGATTTTTTTCTATAGCCTCATTCATGTTTGTTACTCTTATGTTACCATTTCAGAAAATCCAGGTGTGTGGCTTTGAACTTGATCCACCTCATTGCCAAGGGAATGAATCACATTGGCTAAAGTAGTACAAAAATAGTATCAAATATAGCCTAGACAATGACAAACTGTGGTAACTATTAATTTACCACCTTTAACTGTATGAACTAGATTTGTGGTTATATAACAAAATCTAAAACAAACCAGATAGCTGTATACATAAACATGCCCTCAATATGACAATTTTATCATCAGGGGAGGAAATTTTAAAAGGGTTAGCAGAGAAAAAATACAGAAGTAGAAGAGGGAGAATTTAGAAACAAGGTTGGAAGACAAAGATGTTCCACTCATGTTCTGGTTGGTTTCTCTATGTGAGGTTATTACCCAATTTGTTTGGCCTGCAACACTCTGTGTGCCTCCTGCTGGCTTGAATTCAGCTCCCTGCCTGCTTGAACTTGGCTCATTGACTTCCTGCTGACTTGAACTCAGTTCCACCTCACCCTGCCACTAGGAGCTGCTAGATGGTGCCACCCCACAGCTACTCTGAGTTCCAAGCCTAGTTGGCCCCTCTCCAAGATGGTAACCAGCCAATCACCTTCTTCTGTTTGAACTCAAATAACTCATCATCCACTGTAGTCCACTGCATCCACTGCTCCATTCCACTGGTGTGTTTCTCCATGGAGGCCTCTGGGGTCACCAGTAGGCACTGTTCATCTGCAGGCTTGAACCACTCCTTCCACACAGCAAGTCGGAGCTCAGGGAGAAAGTGCCACTTGTCACCTCCTTCTTCTGCACTGAGGCCTTTCTCTTCACTTTTCCCATGGACTTCAATCTTTAATTCTCATTTCAGATCCTTGCTGGGTCTCAAGGACTCACTTCTGTCCTTCCCTTCCTCACACTGCTATTTTCCACTGTCTGGACACCAAATCTCAGAGAAGCTGTTTCTCTGCTATTCACCTCTCTGCCATCTTCCTCCTTTGAGTCCTCCTTCTTGTCCTGATGTGAATATTTTGGCTCTTTTTAATGCTAATATTTTCAGCAACCAATCTCTTTTCAGCCCCAATTTTGTAGGCACTTCTTCCTGGCCACCAGTAAAACTTTTCAAATCATTCAGCACTGACTTTTGGTCCTAATTTTCAATATAAATCTGCTTCAAGAAGCCAGCAGTACCCATGCCACAGCCTGAATGTTGGACTGCTTTAAGATTTCCTCTGTCAGGTTAATTAGTCCATCACTCTTAATCTCAGTCTCCTGCAAAGTCTTAGGACTTGGACAAAATGAAAACAAATATTCTTCCAGTATGTAACACACATGATCTCTAGTCCAACAGCCAATGGAATTGTTTTTACCAATTGAAAGCTCCTGAGCCTAGCTTTCCCTTTCTGAATTCCCACCAACATTCTGGTCTTCTGAGCTCCAACAAGTATCATCCATCAAACATTGCTCATAATATTCTAGGGCTTCTCTATCCTGCATCTCCAAATGTTTTCTAAGTCCTCCCACAAACCACTTCCAAAAGCTTCCAAATCTCATGGTCAGCTATAGTTACAGCAATCACCCCACTCCTGATACCAATTTCTTGTACTGGTTATCCTTTCTGTCAGTAGGACAAAATATCTGATACTCATCATTTAAAGGAGGTTTGTTTTTGCTCATGGTTTTCAAGGGATTTAATCCATGTGGCTGGATCCAATGAAGAAACAGCAGTGGAGGAATTTGCTCTACTTATGGCAGCCAGAAAGCAGAGAGTGAAAAGAAATGGAGGAACTGAGGACTGTTATGGGTTTTGTCTGTGTGTCCCCCCAAAGCCTCCTGCGGCCCATGGGCAGGCTATCAGAGTTGAATGATTGGGTGTGAGAGCTACACCCACCCTGGGGTGGATAGTTTGCATATGTAAGGGAGAGGAAGAAGTGCTTGTGGGCATTTCCTCCTCCACCATTCCTCTTCCATTCCACCCCAGTGTAAGTGAGTTGTTGCTTAGCTGTGGCTGCAGTCCTGAGATGCAGCCCACTGCCACATGCCACCCTGCCTTATAATCTGCCAAGTACGGATTGAAACTTCCACAAACTGTAAGCAAAATAAACCTTTCCCTCCTTAATTTTGGGCATCAGATATTTTGTCCCAGCAGTGAGAGAAAAGTAACTAAGACAAGGACAAAAGTAAACCATTCCAGGTCACACCCCAGTGATCCATCCCTCCAATGAGGACTACTTCCTATGAGCACCTTCAACTACTGGATTCATAAATGGAATCTACTGATGAATAGACAACAATACCCCCATCATCTAATCACCTTCCAAACACATGAGACTTTTGGGGGACATTTTAAATCTAAACCATAACAGACTCTGTATTATTTTATTTAGCATGATGATCTCCATTCATTTTCCATTCATTTTCTTGAAAATTACATTCTTCTTTATGGCATATTTATCTGTCTATCTATCTATCACATTTTTTTCATTCATCTGTTGAATGTGCATCTAAGTTGTTTCCACTGCTTAGCTGTTGTAAATTGCACAATTATAAATATGGATACACAGATATCACTATCATATGCTCTCTTTAATTCTTTTAAGAATATGCCCAGGAGTGGTACAGCTAGATAAAATGGTATTTCTATGTTTAGTTTTTTGAGAAATTTTCAAAATTATTTCTGTATTGGTTGTACTAGTTTACATTCCCACCAAAAATGTAGAAGGGTTCCTTTCTGCATCCTCACCAGCATTTTTGATTTTTATATTCTTGATGGCACCCATTCAGACTGAGTTGAGATGGAATCTCATAGTTTTGATTTACATATCTCAAATGACTAAATATACTTATTGAGCATTTGTACTTCTACCTTTGAGAAATATCTACCCACTTTTTGACTGACTCACTTGTTTTCTGATGGTTACTTTTTTTGAGTTCTTAATATATTCTATATGAATCCTCTATCAGAAGAGTCCAAAGCAAATATTTTCTCCCACTATGTGGGTTATCTCTTCACTCTGTTAGTTTTTTCTTTTGCTGTCCAGATTATAATTTGATGTAATCCCATTTGTTGATTCTTGATATTATTTCTTGTGCTTTAGAGTCCTATTTAGGAAGTCTTCACTTTAGGCTTCAATTTTTTCCCCTGTGTTATTTTCCAGAAATTTCAAAAGTTCCTAGCTTTATATCTAGGCCTTTGATCCATTTTTAATTTATTTTACTGCAGGATGAGAAACAAGGATCTACTTTTAATCTTTTACATGTAGAATCCAATTTTTCCAGAACAATTTGCTAGAGGCTGTGTTTTCTCCATTGCTGATTTTTGGCCCCTCTGTCAAAACTCAGAAGCTGTAGGAGAATGAGTTTGTTTTTGTGTCTTCTCTTGTAGTCCATTGGTCTACATGTCTGTTTTTGTGTCAGCATCATGTTTTGTTATTATGTCTAGCCTCTTTTTCAGTAAGGTTCTAGAACCTTCAAGTATTTTAGCTTAATGATAGATTTTCAGCTTTGCATAAGTACAAATGGGGATGTCCCATTTCCCTGTGAGATATTAATTCCCAAATCGCTAAGATGTTGAAACCATACTGTTTGGTTTCAAATTCAGGCCCTACCATACACTGTCACAGGATTGCAAACAAGTTACATAACTTCTTTGTGTTTCACCTTCTTCTATAAAATGGATATTGGTAATAGTCCCCTCCTCATAGCTATGATATGGGCAATAAATGAATTCATGTGACTAAAATGGTTAGAACAGTGCCTGCCAAAGGAAATGTTCTAACAGTCCTGGCTTGTGCCTGTGTGTTAAAGTCTCAACCACTGGATTTTAGCTCACTGATCCTTTTTAAAAAGGAATTTTGAGGGTGCTCTTTATTTTCTTTCAAGCTGACCATCATTTACAAGTATGTTATAATTTATCCATAATTTAGTCAAATCACAGCAGAAAGCCTTTTTGACTACACAGTCACTGTACTGTTGTCATTGAGAGAATGATTAGAAGGGATCACCTCAAAGAAGATTCAAGCTTTACTAAAGACTTAGGAGTCCCTTGAATATGGTAAGCTTTCTAGGAAGAGGAGAGGGTGAAAATAGAGCAATAAAAGACTGCTTTGCTCCAGGTTCCCTTTAAAGATGTGGCAAGGAGATCTACATTATGTTCCAGTGGAATCCCTCTTTAACCATCCAGATAACCCTCAATACAAATGGTTCCTGTCGTCTTTCCCCTATATTTAGGCCACATACAATTATCTATTATAGGATATGTATCATCTTATTTCTCATTCAATCTTATACCTGGCATATAGTACTGTAGTTCTTGATAAATGTTTATTAAATGCATGTATGAACAAATAAACAAATGAGTAAGGAGCAAAAGCAACAGAAGTAAATACATCAGAACAGTGAGCACTTTTTATAATTTAGAAGTAAGAATGAAATGTATCCCACAACCTTTTTAATATGTTGTATTTTCCTGATGAAGCCACTGTTAAATATTATTTAAAGACATGGAAATAATTAAACAAAAAACCAAAAGCATTTGGTTGTTTCTGGGAAGGAAAACCAAGTATATGAAGAGATGAGTCAAGGATATATCATTTTCCTTTAAAAATCCTCTGTATTATTTCATTTTTAGCCATGTACTATTGGATTTTAAATTACATATATTTTGATCAATTGAAATATTTAAATGCAAAATTAGTAATTTTTGAGCTGTTAGTAACTCAAAATAGTTTGTTGTACTTTTGACCTCAGAGGTTAAGTACAATTTTTTTTTAAATTTTGTGCTGAGTCCTGGTTACTAAAGTATGTTGACCCAAAGCCAGGTTGATAAACAGAATTTTGAACTTTAGTAGGGCAGTTCCAATGAACCAAGACAAGCCTCTTGACTGGTACCCGCAGATAGCTATAAAAGGGCTGAGTAAATCAATTAACTCGATGGTTTTCATGGAGATCTCTTGATATAAAAGCTTCTTTTTTGAAACACGTGTCTCCTCTGATCCTGTGAAGATGAAAATTGACATCCATAGTCATATTCTACCAAAAGAATGGCCAGATCTAGAAAAGGTAATTTGTGAATTATTTCTGGAAAATCCCTAGCGCTTCTCAGTACCTCTATTTATAGCTCTTTCTCGTCTTTTGGGAGTTTGTTTCTTTACTCTGGGGTGATTTTAAATTATTTTTGGTAGTTCTAATTTCCTAGTTTTTAAAATAACTTTCATATTTATTTTGGTTTTTTGTTGTTGTTGTTGTTGTTTTGGTTTTGTGGTCTTTTTTTTTTTTGGTACCGGGAACTGAACTCACAACCTTGCACTTGCCAGGCAGACGCTGTGCCGCTGAACTAAATCCCCAGCCCCTATTTTGAAAGAAATAAATGCCTTCTCAAAATCCTTTTCTCCTTTCAAAAAAGTAATTCTCTTAAATTTCTGGACAATTTAAGTCAAGCAGGGCCAGGAATATAGCTCAGCAGCACAAGGTCTTGAGTTTGACTTCTGGGTACCAAAAAAAAATGAGTATTAAGTCAAGGAGATTATTTTTTAAATTACACATTCAGTCTACTGTAAAGATACACATCAAGTGCAGAATTTAAAGTTACAGTTTCAACTAAAAGGCTATTTAAAAATTGAATTGATAGGTTTCAAGGACTTCTAAAGTATATCTGTTTTTCCAAAATGTTAAAAATAAATTTTAGAAGCACAAGGAGATAGCTTTGTGGAAAAAAAATTTTAGTCTATTTTAGGACACTTGTCTGAAGCCTTTCCTTTTTGATATTTCAACTGTAAATCCTTGTTATGAAGAAATAGGAAGTAGGTAATAAAAAAACTAGAATAAATGACATGAAGTCTTGCACAATGAGTGTCTGTAAAGTGCATTCTCTGTATTTCTCTAAATATGGAAACTCCTTTTGTCATTAAGACCTTTTGAATGAATACTAAAAGAGGAAAGTATGGAACATGAAGGAAATTTTAAATTGGCTAAGAGTTTATTCAGGCTTAGTATCAGATGTCACCTAATCTTTAGCATTCTTCCAGTTCTTTCACATCACTGATAAGGTTTCATCTTTTATCCCAAGTGAGGGAAAATGAATTAACCCAAACTCTAATGAAAGTGTGATTCGTTGTGCTAGTAAATGAAACTATTTTCCTTCCATAGTTGTTTTCCACAAGAATGTTAATCCTAAGCGTTTCTCTGTCCAGTTGGTACCTTAGGTAAAATGGATGGAAATAATTGTAGATTCAAACATGCAAATGATGCTGAAACTTCTTGGAAAGCCTATCCTATTAAAGCTAGTGGTGAAAGGAACTCTGCTGACTTATGTGTGTGTACACACACACACACCCCACACACACACACACACAGAGTCTGTTTACATGGGAATATATTGATCCATGGGAATATATTGATCTGTTCTCAGCAAAAACTGTTAACTCCAGCATTACAACTTTTCTCTTTATTTCGATATCAAAGAACACCTACACTGAATGCTTTGGAAGCTCCCATGGTGGTTCTCCCATGTGCACCTGTAACCTCCTCCACAAGACAGACAGCCTGACCTACCCATCTAGGGGATGTCACAGCATCAAGGGCTCCAAGCTGCATGGCACTGACCTCCTTGTCCAAACAAGGATTTTGAGGTTTAAAGAGTGCTATGCTCTGAATTTTTGTGTAAACCCAAAATTCGTATGTTGAAGTACTCAACACCCAAGGCAAATAGCACTAGGACATAGGATTCTTGAGAAGCAATTAGGTCACCAAAAGAGAGCCCTTGGGAATGGGATAGTGTCCTTATAAAATAGGCCCTAGGCTGCTTGTTTGCTCTTTCTCCTATGAGGACTCAGCAAGAAAGCGCTATCAGTGAATCAGGAACCAGACACCAAATCTACCACCTCCTTGATCTTGGACTTCAAGAACCCAGTGCTATGAGAAATAAATGCTTGCTGTTTATAAGCTACTAGTTGATAGTATTTTATTAAAGCCACCTAAATGGACTGACATAGAGAGCAAACCAGTCAAAGTTGAGATGCTTTCATCACTAGAGCAAGGAATTTTCAGTTCCTCTCATAATCAGGTATAAGGCACATTGTACCAAGAACTTGACTGTTCTATCCATTTTTATTGCATTCTTAAAATGGACTTAATGTCAAGGTTCAGAAACTCCCAAACTGTTCTAAACCAATTCCATTGTTTCTGGGGAACTTTCCAACATCCTGAGGAAGAATGGTTGACTTCCTACTAAAACTAAGTCCTAATAAGATGTTCCCTCTGAACATTGAAAGCTGTTCATAAATAAGTCAGAAAAACAAAACCCCTCAACCTTTCCCAGTTGGAAAACCCACAGGGGCCTAAAATGATGCCTCCTCTTTGCAAGGAAGGGAAAGCTTTCCATCAGTAGTGACCTGTGCCACAATATCACCTCCCATTACCTTCCTCCTACCCAAAGACTACTACTACTTCTACAGCAGAGAACTGGCCACCTATAGCTGACAATGTGTAGAGGCTCCACTTCATGCAAGGGCCTAAAGCCATTGTTTAAATTGCTTGAAAACTAAGGGATAAAGAACACTGAAATCATAGGTGTGTGCTGTGGAAAATTCCCAAGCACTTGTCCTGCTGCCTCTTGGTACTGCCTCCCCCTCCTATCAAGAAATGTTTATTGCCTTAAAACATGGTGCAATATTTTATTCCAATGATCAAACTTCATCTACCTAGCAATCTCATATACTGCAAGCAGACAGATATATCATCATACAATACTTGTCATAATATTGTGTACTTCTAGGAACATATAGTCCATCAAAAAATATATACATCAGGAAAAGGAAAATTTGTATAAGTATTCCAATACTAAATTTATTGAGACATCATGAAATTAATGCAAGTTTCCTTTGGCCTCTACAATTACAAGAGGTGCTCAAAGTGGTGATCATTTGCTTCCAGACATTTATTAGTACAGTGAGATGCTGAAGTGTATATACATTTTTAGTGCTCTCTCTCTCCCATATATATAGAGAGAGAGAATTTGATTCATATAAAATCTTGTGACATATACCAATAACATTTATATTTTTAACCTACTTGACTGGTGAAGTGCTTGATATTCAGAAATATACCTGGAGCTACACAGTTCAGTGGCCCCTCCAGAGCACCACTACCCCATCCACCTTGACAAAAGTAGCCAGGGAGCATATTACTGCAGTAAGGGATATGCACATTTCTCTCTGCTTTCCAATGCCCTTCTTGATACCAGCCTGCCCCCCAACTCCTCACATTCATATAAACCTGCCAAGGTTTACATTGATACCTGGCTTCCAACCTACAACTTAGACAACTGATCAGTTATATGATAGAAGTTTTCTTCTGAGCACTAGTAATCCAGTGATGAATCAACTAGCTAAAACCAGCCACACTTTCCAACTTGGATGAGTGAGATATACCTAATGTGGCTGAGATTCTTCTATTAGTCCCTTTGTTTCTAATCTATATGGCCAGTGGAGTGAGTATTAAAGCGACATTAACTACAGCAAATTTCTTTTGTCTGCAAGTATTTCTCAGTGTAGAAAAATATTTAAAAGATCAGTCTCTTTTAAATAGCTTAAAGAACTTTTTCTCACTATTTTTTTTTCAAACTTTCCAAAAAAAGAAGAAAAGAATAAGCCAGTACTATTTTTATCCGACAAGATGAAGTCTCTTTGGAAGAAGTAATGTCTCCTTTCAAACTTGTCTTTCTATCTTAAATATTGAGACATCCATACAACATTGACTCTCTTGTGCAAAAGTAGAATCAACACACCTGGGCTGATGATTAACGAAAGGTTACAAAGGGCTGAAATTTGAGAGCTCTTTCATTTTCACTTACTAATGATGATTTAGTCAAAGTTTTAGTCAGGGTCCTTTTCTAAAAATCTGGGGGCCGGGGATACAGCTCAGCGACACAAGTGCCTGCCTGGCAAGCATAAAGTCCTGAGTTCGATTCCCGTTACCAATAAATAAATAAATAAAATTAAAAATCTGAGATGGATAGCAGAGTCAAGCGAACTTAATTAAATGGCTTCTAATGAATGAGGACTCACTCTCCATGCTGTCACAAATAGGAGCCCAAGGAGCCACAGCGAAAGTTGTCTGAGCCTGATCTACAATGGTAAGGTTTTGCCTTTTTTCTTCAGCAAGTCTTTACTCACCACCTACTATGTGGCCAATAGTAGGGCTTGCAAAATTTCAATGTTAAATGGGGTAAAAAGAAAAAAAATCTGGCCTTTCATTTAAAAGCATATATTTAAATCTCCTTTCATTAGTGATGGTTTAACTGTACTATTCAAGGTAAGATTTTCAGAAACAAAGTCTCAGACGTAATTTGACTTTTTAACAACTGTTCTGAGGAAATAGATACCTGGTTTTATCACCAAGGAGGTGTATGAGGTCCCACGAACGTTGAAACTGTCATTCAGGAACTGGACACAGTGGAGGGAATCTGTAACCCCAGCTACTCAGGAGACTAAGGCAGGAGGATCAACAGAGCCCAGGATCTCGGGGTCATCCCGGGAAACATATCTAGACTTTGTCAAAAATAAATGTGTGAATAAATGAAGCTGATGCTGGCAAAAAAAAAAAAAAATTGAATTTATCCATTCTGACTCATATATACCCATATCAGAAACATAGTCTTGTATATAAAACTAAATTCCACTGAAATTTTTAAATTTGCTTTTTATCTGTCATACCATTAAATGCCTAAGGGATACTAGTCATTGTAAGTCAAAACACTATCAGACTGTAAATATCTCCAGATACAGGCTCTGACTAAACCATTCCTATGGTCATAGATTCAAGACCCAAGGTTTGACTCAAGCCAGGATGAGAGCTGAGGGACAATGTGGAGCCCAGATCTGGAACAAATGAATTGCCCTTAAATAGGTTAGGTCTTTGTAAGTGGCCTACGTGGTAACTTGAACACAAATATTTTCAGGAAACAGGGAAGAACCCAAAGTGACAAAAGCTTCCTTCATACTTGTCCTTAGTATCTGACCCAGGATATTCCACCAAGGGCTACAGTAAGGCTGTCACATAACTGTCACCTCCATCACTTTCTGACACACATTACCGCCCCTACTACTACCAGCACTGCTGCCATCATCACTAGTACGGAAACTGCTGCCACCACCAACACCATCATCACCATTACTGTACCACCACTACCACCATACTAACAACCATGGCTGCTACTGCTATCACCTCACTCCCTCTACCACTGTCATTACCACTGCTACCAACACCATCTCTAACCCTGCCCCCATCACCATTAGTATCATAAGCAATGATAATGCCTTTTCTGTAAGCCAGGACTTGTGTCAATAGCTTTATATTCTTTATCGCAATTAATTTTCTATAATAGCCTTCCTCAGCTATTCCAGTTAGCTCCATTTTATCCATAAGGAAATAGTAGCTTTTTTGGGGGGGGGGTTCTCCGGTACCAGAAATCGAACTCACGACCTTGCGCTTGCCAGGCAGGCGCTGTGCCGCTGAGCTAAATCCCCAGCCCCCAGGAAATAGTAACTTGAAGATATTAAGTTACTTCAACAAAGCCAAGATCTTTAAAAGTGACATTTGCACTGGGCAGGATTCCTCTGCTCTTCCTTCCTCTATCTTCCCATCCTTGCCCAGATAGGATTCTTCCCTAGCCTGTTAATATGTGAGTGAAAATTATTTGCAGAATTAAGAAACAGTAAGAAAGTGAAGAAGAAATGAACAGAGAAATGAATACAAGAAAATAAGAGAGGAGGAAAGAGAGAATAAAACATTTTCTTCTATACTAACTGTGACATTTTAGTAGCAAAGAGCATACTATTAGTGTCAAATTTACTCTAGATTGTAACTGATTAAGGTCATTTTCCACCCTTTCCTTCAACATATGTCTTTTGGTAGCTTTTTTACCAGGGGAAGAAAAGAGTGAAATACAAGGGTCTTGAATGATACTGAAGGGTTGGGTCACCTGCTAAGGAGAAATTGGAGGCAGGGAAAAGAAAGTGGGCCCCTGTTGACAGTTTCCCTTGTGTGCCCAGTCACTAAACAGAGTCTGAAGATTAGGCAGAAAGCACATAGATTTCTACAGCTAATACAACCTGAAGATAGACCTCAAAGATAGACCTCATATCTGAGTAAAATAAGATTGCAATAGAACCAATTTGAATTTTAAAAGCCCGTTGAGGTAGATTCCAGTCACAGACACAGACAAACACACCTATGCTGCAGTGTGATCCAGGCCCAGACTTCCCCATTTAGCCTGCAGGTGAGAAGGAAGCTAGGTAGAGCAATTTACCAGGACTTGTCTCCCTCTAGACAACATCCCTGCACCCTGACATCAAAACCAACCACTGTCACCTGGCCTCATCCAACTATAAGTGGGAAATGATACAAAATTCAACTTACTTAACTCATCTACTTCCATTTCTGATAGTTTAGGAACTGGTGATGAACTCCCTCACCTAGATGTTTCCTGTTTCTACACCTTCCCTCCTTACATCGTGCTCTGAGGGCCATGCTTTGGAGCACAGAAATCCTCAGCATGAGAAGTTCCTCTCCAATATGATCCCAGACTACCTCCCTCTTGTGAAACAAGTTGACCCAAGGTGTGGATGATCTCCCCCGATCAGGCTTCCACAGATCCTAGGCAGGACTATAATAGCAGGTCTCATGTACAAGACAGCTCTTGCATTGTTCATCCACCCCAACCCACACACTCTCAGAAGACCCTGCCCCACATGGCCTAGAACAGTCCATCACTTTTATTTTCCCTGCCCTTGGAAGGCTGGTCCCAGACGAGATGCCATGAGGGCTTGGGAAGTGAATGAAGGGATGAATGAAATGATATTTTTAAATCTGCAGTTATATGAGTAATAGATAATCTGTTCTTAGGCAGTGACTTACAAAAAATTTTATCCATGACTCCCAGGAAGAAATATATTTATATTGTGACTCAGTAGAAACATATGCATACATATGACGGGCAGAAATTTTTGTGAAACTAATATTACATGGAAGATTTTCATTTCTATTCCATTTTATTCTATCCTATTCTATCCTAATTCTATCTTATCCTTTCCATTTTTTCTTAGCTTACATTTTCTAAGAAGTAGACTGAGGCAAGGATACAAAAGTGAGTAGTTTGAGTCCACCTTTGGGGGTGATCCAAGGAAACCCCTGTGAGTGAAGTGAGGCAGGGAAAGCAACACAGTCAGTGAAAGGTTTGTTATGTAGTGGAGAATGTGTCTCTTGCCTGAGTTATCTTGCCTAGGAGTGTGATAGCAGTGTATTTAGTGTATTTGTATACAAATTACCTCAGTCATTGGTTGAGGTCTGATGAGCAGGTGGAGAAGGAAGACTAATTTTCTGGTACTTCTCATCTAGAAGCGTTTGATCAAAGAAGGTTCCAGGGACGTAAGAGAAGCCCTCAAAAGTCAATGCTGGCAGGTGGGCCAGTGTGCATTAAGGGGAAGAAATATGAATAGGACACTAGCAGGATCTTCTACTCATACTATTTCATGTTTCGAAAATATCTAAGTCCCTATCCACTCAGTTGATTTCATGACATCTTCATGGATTGAAACCTACAGTTTGAAGAGCAGTATATATTTCTAGATAGTGGTTGTTAAATTCCATATGTTCATGGTGGCCTGTAAAATGATTATAGGTGTTACATAAACAAATATATTTTAATGCTAGTCCTCACCTTAAAATTTCAAACTGTATGAGGAGGAAAGAAAAAACTGGTACTTCTGATATATAGAATGCCATATATATATTGAAAAGAGTAAATTGATTTCAGTGCAAATACTGAACAAGCAATATGTGGCTATAGGGGACAAACAGGAGGATGACACCTGAAAGGATAGGATGGATGCCTAAAATGATCCCTTGCCCCGAAGAGCCCCTTTACTGCAGTGCTTTCTTCTTCGCTCCATAATTCTAACTGTGCATCTCTCCATTGCAGAGATTCGGCTATGGAGGCTGGGTGAAACTTCAACACCACAGCAAGGTAAGTTTCCACCAAAGTGTGAGCATGACTGGGACCCAGGGACATCCTAAGCCTTGAGATATGTTACTGTAGGGTGGGCCTCAAGGGAACTCAACTCTTCTGTCCTGCATTAATGGAGTAGTTGGCAAGGGAGCAGCACTGCTTGGAATTATTATAAAAAGTGGGGGTGGGTGATTCAAACAGCAGCATTTAGGAAGATAAAATTAGTATTTGAGAATCTATTAAGAATTTTTTTTGTTTTTCTGCCCTGGAACCAATTTTAGCATTTATTGCTCTGCCATGAGGAACTGACGTCGCCCTCTACACAGGCTATTACACTATATTAAGGCTGGTAAAATAAATGAAACAGTTAGGTTTCAGCCCAAGCTAGAGAAATCAAATGCTAAAGACATAAGGGGAAAAGCCACTATCAGTGAAGATTGATTTTGATACCAGAAAAGAGAGGCACTGGGGCAAAGCATCCTTTGTATAATGAACTCTGATAAGTGAGCCAGGAGTCTAGACCTGTACAGAGTTCAAACTTGGCTTCATTTTCAGATATCCTTTTGGAGTTCAAAGGAAACATTCTTGAGCTGCTAGCTGGAATATAGACATGACTAATGTAGCCCCTGGAGGATTTGTGGTCTGGGAAAACAGGTAAGTGCCAGGTTCACCCAATGCAGTTGTAAGGTTAAAATAAGGTGAGGACTGCCTTTGTGCTACGTGGTAAGGAGCAGAGATCTGAGCACCAAGAATTAGCAAAGGTCTTCCGGAGGAAGTGATTCCTATCCTGAGTCTTGAAGTAGAGCTAGAGGCTTGCCCAAGAAGTAAAGAAAACAGTGTTCCAGAAAAAGAAGACAGGTACCTAAAGCATAGAAATACCAACTACATGTGGGCCCAGAACTCAGGCACTCAGCTACACCTGGCACCAGCTTTTCTCAAACTGTGGTCCTTGTACCAGTAGGCTCGGCATCACCTGCAAACTTGAGAGAAATGCAAATTTGGGGACCACACCCTAGATCGCACCCCAGGAACTCTGGGGATGGGGCCAGCTATCTATTTGAACAAGCTTAAATATGAGAACCCATGGCACATACATTCATTCACTCATTCATTTTTTTTGTTTTTTAAAATTGGCATCATCATTTTTTATGTTAAAGACAATAAAAAATTTTTAAAAACGATACAGAATTTCAAAACAAGGTCATTCATTAGTTTTTAATGAAATCTGTTTTGTAGCAGGCCCACCAATCTAGACACTAGCAACATGCTGGTGAGCAACACAGAGATACTTCCCGCCTTCATGGTCCTCACACGCTAAGGGAAACACACGTGAATGATTAATTCAAACAGTGGAATAAAAAACAGTGTTGCTACAGAGATTAACAGGCTGGTCAGTCACTGATGGGGCAAAAGGCCATTAAAAAGGAAAAGGTCAAAGTGTTCAGGGAACAAGAAAGGAGAGCAATGTGGATGAAATGCAGTGAAAGGGGGAGAAGGTAGGAAATGTGTCCAACCACAAAAAGATTTGTAGGAAGTCCTAGGCGTCTGGACTGTAATCACTGTGCAATGCAAATTCTTTGGAAGATCTTTATGGTTTTAAATGACCAATTTTCTCTGTGGAGAATGGATAGGGGCAGGCAAGAGTTTGGGGGAAATAATCATAGAAAGGAGCTGAAGAGGTGCGCATAAGCCTCATGAGGCTACGACTTGGAGGATTTAGAAGTTTAGGCCCAAAATGGAATTTGGCTTCTATACTTGATCCTGAAAGCAATGTCAGAATCTTTGGGAAAGTTCATCTTCACTTTCTCCAAAGAGTGTACTCTAAGTGCCAGCTTAGACACAGGTACATTCTTGCGTTCCCAGGGTTAGTTTCTAGCTAGAGAGCTCATCCTTTCAGTTGGCCTCAAGTCTCTACAAGGAAAAGTACATTAGGAGTGTCAATGACTACGAGTCTATCAGGAAACTCCAACTGCAGAAACAGGCAGCCTATGATTTTTTTCTTACTCCGGATCTCCGGCTGAAGTTGGTTGCTTAATAGCAGATATGAATGGCCTTCACTTCACTTTAATGTAAAGAGATTTCATAAACTTAGCAGAAAATCTCCAAAAGCACACAAGAGGTAAAATAATTTCCAGTCACATCTACTGATCTACTTATCTCCAGCAAAAATGATTACAATGATAGTCTAACAGAACAAAACAGAGATGCTGTCTTTCCCACTCTTTCATAAAGCTAAGCAAAACAAAACATAACCAAATCAGTACTTTTCATAATTACAGTGGTCAGGAATAATAGTCACTAGAAAACAAGATGCAGATCTGTACCATTATGCAAATTAACCGGGAGCATTGAGACAATCCAGAATTTGTGATTTTAAAATTCTTTTCATTCTCCTACATTCTTTGTGAACACATATCTTCTTCCCCTATGGTTAATTTACTTTAGAGATTCTTGTTCCCTAGAAGTTTTTTCACGGGGCGTAGTGGCGCACATCTGTAATCCCAGCACTCGGGAGGCTGAGTCAGGAGGATTGTTGCGAGTTCAAGGTCAGCCTGAACTACAAAGTGAGCTTAAGGCCAGCCTAAACTGCATAGTGAGATCCTGTCTCAAAAAGAGAAAAAAATAAAATAAAAGTTTTTGTGAAGATATTTCTCTGTTCTGATCTATTTGTTTCTTTTAAACCTTTGGTTTTTCAGTGCTTTTGGAATGAATTTGGAGATAGTTTTTGCATGGTAGAGCCTTGATCAGAATTGTAAAATATTACTTACCTGTTGGTTGAACATTTACAAAAATATGAGTAGTAAGCCAGTTCTTGATTAATGTGACAACCTACCAGGAGCTGTTTGACTGTTAGGGTGTGGGTGAAATTGTTCCCCAATAGCAAAAACACCTGGAAGCATCTTAAAGTCTACAACTTAAGAGAGCAGACATATAGCCCATTCCAAATCTATAGGTCAACTGCAACAAAAATACCCCCTGAGTGTTTCCTAAGACCTAGGGAACACAAACACACATGTGCAAACACCTCACACAGACATTTGCATGATATTCATCATTTTTTACTCATATAATTCTGTCTGATTCTCCATTATGATGAACTAAGTGTGTCCCCACCACAGTTTACATATTTGAAGCTCTAAACTCCTAATATGATGGTATTTGGAGGTGAAGTCTTTAAAAGATGATTAGGTTAGATGAGGTCATGAGGAAGGCTCTCATGATGGAATTAGTGCCTTATAAGGAGACACACCAGAGAGCTTGAGCTTCTCTCTAGCATGTGAGAACACAGCATACACATAACCATCTACAAGCTAAGAAGAGGGTCCTCACCAGGAACTGAATTAACTGGTACCTTGATCTTGAACTCCACAGCCTCAAGAGCTGTGAGAAATAAATGTTGTTTAAGCCACACACCTATGATACTTTGCTATAACATCCCATACTAATTTAAACACCCACTTACCTGGTTTTTGCTCTAAAGATGATTTTGCCCTAGATGGGTAGCCAAGTAGGCCCTCACATGAATGTAGCATATACAGACAGCAGCAATGAGCAAAAGAGACAACAGTAAGGGATTTGAAAGGAGGTAGAGAGCCCAAGTTAGGGAGCAATTTTTAAAACAATAAAGAATATAACTGTAGGGCTAGTAATTATCTGATATAACTGTAGGGCTAGTAAGTTTCTAATCCAATTTTAAAAATACAAGTTGCAACCCAAGAGTGAGTCATAATGTTAATGTAGTAAGTTAGGACATCTTGTAAATAAAGATAGATTATAAAACAAAATAGCAGAATGTACTCCTCATTGTAAAAGTAAATAATGTTTCATAAAACTTTTGACTTGATTTGTGTCTGTATAAATATATGGATATAAGTATTCTGGATCACAATGAAACATAGATTCCCTAATGTAAGGTCTCAGACAAAACTGACTTAAAGCCATTGATCTAGGTTGTTCTCATCTTATAATTTATTGTTAAAATTAGCTTATTACATAAATAATATTTGGATAAATTCTCCTTTTTTTATTTATTTATTTTGGGGGAGGTACTGGGAATTGTACTCAGGACCTTGCAGTTGCCAGGCAGGCACTGTGCCACCAAGCTATATCCCTGGCCCAATGTTTCCTTTTTAAATGTAAGTATTTAGGAATAAAGCTACAATCCCCTTGAACTACCGTTCTGCACCTTCAAAAGTAATTCCTATTAATAATTTTGTAGATAGTTGTCTTGGTTACTCTTCTCTCATTGCTGAGACAAAATACCTGACCCTTCCCCAAAATTAAGGATGGAAAGATTTATTTAGCTTACAATTTGTGGAGGTTTCAGTCTATACTGGCTGGCTCCAAGGTAGAGTGGCACATGGCAGAGGGCAACAGCTCATGGCAGCGGAAAACAGCAAAAGCAACAAGAGCAAAAGGGAGGAGTGGTGGCAAGCAGCCTCTTTCTCTCCCTTACATAGGCAAACTATCTGCTCCAGGGCGGGTGTAGCATTCACACCCATAAATTAATCATAAACTCTAAAAGTCTGCCCCATGACTATGTGTGACTTCGGCAGGACACCCAGACACAAACCATAACAATAGCTTTCCAGATCTTTTCTATAATTTTACTTACATATGCACAAACCTATAGGAATGACATAGTATTATTTAATATGTTTAGGTATTTTTTAAGCTAGATCAGTCAGGTTCCAAACAGAATACAAATGGAACACTTAAATTAGAATACTTTGAAAAGACTTTTAAGGAATGATTTATAAAGGTATAGGCATGTGAGGAAGTAGGCCGAAGTTAAATTATGCACAGTCTTACAAACCAGATTAAAGACTTTGGATCTTACCTTCAGGGTAATGGGAATGAATGCATTTAGAAATTATAAGTAGGATAGTGACAAGATCTGAATAAGAGATTTAAATACTGATTGCTTTGTGGAACCTGGGTTGAAGGTTTTCCCGAGAGCTGAAGCAAGGAGATTGGGCTGGAGGCTAAGCAGTCATTCAGGGAGTGAAGTTTAGGGC